ATTCTAATTTGCAGCCATATCTCTTTCCCCTGCCCAATTCCACAGCAGCTTCGTTACTACTGCAAATCTGGGCAAAGTTTCCTTGGAAAAGACAGACAAGGGCCTTTTGCTTTGCCTCTGGCCCTTGCATTTTGCCTCCAGACCCGTGCCCTACAGGACAATCCTGGTTACCCAAGTGGGCAACTCTAGTGTATTTGGGGGCTTGACCAAGTGGCTGTTAGATGGAGGTGGTTTTCAGCAGAGCTTTCAAAATTGAGGGAACTTTCTTGCTTCCTGCAGTGAGAGGAGAACTGTTGCTGGTCCTCTCTTGGCTTCTTGGGCTGTGCCCCTCAGGGCACTTCTTGGGAGTAAGCCAGGCTGCCTGATGGACAGCAGGAACTTAGCAGATGCTGACTCCAGTCAACACTGCACCAGGCTCTGGGCTTTGGACCATTAACCCGGCCCATGGATATGTTTCCAAGTGAATGACCTTTACTCTCCCATTTCTGCTCCTGCCCCAGACCGAGCCAGTGGAGGCTCCATTGACTGGACCTATAACCAGGGCATCAAGTACTCCTTCACCTTTGAGCTCCGGGACACTGGGCGCTACGGCTTCCTGCTGCCGGCCTCCCAGATCATCCCCACGGCCCAGGAGACGTGGCTGGCACTTCTGACCATCATGGAGCACACGCTGAATAACCCCTACTGACCTGGTCCTTCAGCGCTCTTCTCCTCCTCCTCTCCAGCCCCACCTGGGCAACCAAATAAAGTTTGAGTGTACATGGAACAGAATGGGGCTTGTGTGTGAGAAGGCATGTGGCATGTCTGCCTTTTCAAGCTGAGGCAGAAGTGATTTAGTTCCCTCAGTTCTCGCTGGAAACGTGTGGGTGGTTGGACTAGATGACCCTTAAACTCCCCTGCATTCCAAGGTCCTGTGAAGTTGTATCCAAGTGCCGTCCGTTTTAATTAGACCACCCTGAGCTCAGCCCGTCAGTGGGGTGATTTGTTCATACCTTGGTAGCAAGCAGCAGCCACAGCTGCTGACCAAATGCCCGGCACCCTGCAGCGGTGAGGAATTCAGCTTGTACAATAGTCTAGCTAGTTGGATCCATTCATCTATAAAAGCAATAACCTTGAGTATGACACAGAATAATCCTGGTGGCCACTGTTGTCCCAAATCGATCTTGCAGCCAGGCAAAGCAAATTTCTATAAAGCAAAATATGGCCTCCCACTACGGAATTAAATTGGAAGAAAACAATTGGGTTAAATGGAATCATTTACTGAAGATAAAGAAGAAACAGCAGTCCCAGGACATTTGATTAATTGTAGCATATCACAAAGACTTTGCCTTTGGGAACAGAAGTAGTTTACTTTTCATTGCCACATCCTTTCTAGCGTCTCCTGGTACACTGTCTCTGCTTCCTCTCCTCTTCTACCCATCACTACACCTTATCGTTCACAAAATTTCTCAAACATAAGGCTCTCCTCTTGATAACCTCCGTATGTCCTAGAATTTGGCTCCTTTCCTTTGGCTTGGTGATATTGATGGCTGTGATATCACACTTGGTAGCTTGAATAGCAACACATAAGGGTTAATCTCAACTTTTTTTCAAAGCAAGAATCTACCCTCTGTTTCTTCCAAATTTCTTAAAGTGTGACTGTGGAGCAGGGGGTTACTCCCAGAGAAGTCGCTGTGGGGTGGATTGCTAGCTCCCCGAACAGGGGAGCTGGGGTAATGATGGCAGCCTCTCTCTGAATCAGCCAGATGAGGTGTCACAATGCATCCAACTTCCCTGACTTAAAATTTGTGTCTTTTACACATAAAGTAGCCTTAAGGTCAAATCCCTTTTTTAAAGGGCCCGTTGGGGAATTTTCATCTTGGAGATTATTTTTTAAATTATTTTTAGTTTAAAAAAATTGAGGCGTAGTTGATTTACAATATTATGTTAGTTTCAGGTATGCAACATAGTGATTCAAAATTTTTATACATTATATTCCATTCATCTTGGACTTCTTATTTTTTTTCTACCAAACATTCTAAAAAACTAGAAGAATGAGGCTGATTATACATATAGTGTACATAAACTTATATGTATTATAAGTTTATAAGGCAAGGTAAAGTGGTGTTTCAGTCTGTAGAAAGATGATCTAAGGATTTTATGACACTTCCTTCAAGTTATCTTCTGGGAAACATTTCTCTTCAATGTATGTAGATAGGCTGAAACCCACTGTAACAGCTCAGTTTGGGCAAAAAACCCAAAAAACCCAAAACAACTGATCTTATTTTTTGTTTAATAAAGACTGATAAACAAAAAAACGAAACTAAGTTAGCAAGACAATATATCATTTTACAAAACTGGATTACTTAGGCTTTAAGGGTAGAATTGCTTAAGTGAAAATAAACTGCAGTCCTTGATGGCAGGAACCACTTTGTTTGACATTCAATCTCTAAAATCATCAACAGTACTTAATACACAGATGCCCAATAGGTATTTGTTGAATGAATGTTCTCAATATTTACTAGAGAACTCATGGACTTTATAATCTGTATTTTGTAGGCTTGCAAGTTATTTTAAATTCCCGGAATTGTAGTTTACAAAGTAAGGCTCTGAACAAGTAAGAGTCTTAAGAGAGCGGAAAAGACAAGGAGTAAAGCATCAGAAAGAAAACTGCATGAGGGCAGCAATTGCATCTTTTTGTTCAACACTCAGTTCCTCCTGGTTGGCCAAGTATGTGACACACGGTAGGCACTTAAAAAATGCTTGTTAAATAGGGACATGGAAGTCACTAACACTTTTTTTTTTTGTATTTTCAAGTATAGGAAGAATTTTACATTTTGTTTGCAGAGACATTTTTTACAAATCTATGGGTAAACTTTTAATTTTATAAATAAAAACATAAAGCTAAAAAAGAAACAATCATTTTAGAAAGTAACGCAGAGTATATGAACAATAACTTTGAAAGATAAAGAGCTTTAATAAGTAGAAGGGGTTAAAAAAAAAAAAGATGAACCTTTCAAAAGAAAAATAGGCAATTCCCAAAAGAAGAAACACAAAAAGTCAATAAATGTATGAAAGATTCTGATCCTCTGATATTTTTGCACATTAAAGAAAAATAAATATATTATTTTCCTCCCATCAGATCGACAAAGAATAAAAAGACTGACAACTCAGTGTTATCAAGAGTATGAAGAAATAAGACCTGTCATATACTGCTCATGGGAGGATAAATTTACACCACCTTCCTGGAGGAAAATTTGGCAATATAAATAAAAAATTTCAACGTAACACTGCCTTGACCCGGTAAGTCCACTTGGAAGAATTTATTTTATAAAAGTATTCAGACAAGTTCATATACATGTATGTACAAGGTCAAAATAATACAAATTTTAAAAGGAAAAGAACTTAGTAGACAGCAGTATTGATACAACTATGTCACGTTTACACAGTGGAATATTGTGAAGCCACTGTGATCTGCGCTGATATGGAAAAATGGTCACAACATACTAAGTGAAAGAAGGTGGCCACATGATAGAAATACTCTAAAATAGGAATGTGGTGATTGTTGAGCAACTGTAAATTTACTAAGAATCACTGAATTGTATCTTTAAGATGGGTGAATTTTATGGTATGTGACTTATATTTCCCATACAGTTGTTAAAAAAAAGAAGCAGGCTACAAAATAGTACATTATGAGTCTCATTTTTGTTTGAAAAACATACACCCGCTATGCCGAGAAGGAGGTATTCCCCAATAATAACTGTGGTTCCTCTAGGCAGTGCTGGCGGTTTTCCTCCTTATACTTTTCTGAATTTCTTGCTTGTATAATCGCGGGGGTAGAAGGGGGAAGCTATTTCAAACACACCACATAACCTGTGAGTAAAGCTATCTAATATCAACTTGTTATTAAAATCAAACATCCACATGGTCATCTTAATTTGTGCCCAGATTTTCTTTTATAATTTGTCTAAACTCATTTCTTCTGCAATTGCCCAGAACAATGTGATTGTCTTATTTTGGGGAAAATCTGCACTCCAGATAGAGCTGGAAGCAACAGCAATTCTACCGAGGGAGGGGTATGCATGTCTCCTGGTTGGGGGCTGTTCCCCAGGCACTCTGCAGTAGATCAGATAACAATTCCTAAGAGCCCTTTCTCTCACCTTCAGTTCCCGCAGCAATCTGGGGTACTGCTTGTGCTAATGCCTATTCATCAGGGCTTTTCAAAAATCTTTAAATTAACTCATTTTACTTTGTTCTTAGACCATTATATGTGGCTCTCAAGTGTGGCCTGTGAGCCACTGGTGGTCCGTGAGAATCCTCCGGGTGGGCTCTTGAATATCTAAGATATGCATGTTGAGCTTTCTGGCTTTGGCCTAAAGTTAAAATTGAAATGTCATTGAATACAATCCAGATATGACCTCACTGGTCCCTCATCCACTGCAGGGCTATTCATCATCTCAGCAATTGTTTTGCAAAGGCAAGTGAGACTAGGTGGATTTGAAGATGCAGACGGAGTCTTGCTCTAAGGACTCTAAGGTCAGAAACATCATTTTGTGAACACACTGAGACCCAGATGCTCCTTACAGGAAACTGACATGACCAACCATAACATTCAAATTGGCCAGGTGAAGGGAGAAAGAAGCACAGAGCACCCGCCAGATCTGAAAAACTGTCAAAGGGTAATGAATTCTCCCCCAAAGCTTTCAGGATCTGCATTAATTTGGCAACTCAGAATTGTGAGCAGCATCTAACGACCCCAGGGATGGAGACTGCCAAATGTTTACTGCCAAACTAAAAGAAGAAAATTAAAAGTCTTCTGCTTAACCACAGGGGTGTGTTCAGCCATAGTGTTAGAAGAGTGCAGTGGAAGAAGAGCTCTGCTAATATGGACTGAGGCACAGAGATTTGCCACCACTTCCTCCAATGAAGCCCAGGTCTGTGGCCATGAGCCAGTTCACACATTTATGTTTCAGCCTAACTCAGAAACATCATCACAAAGGAAAGAGAAGATCAGACACAAATCATGTCAATAGGGTTTTATTGAATGAATAGTTCAGTCAATCAGGAAAACAGCCTACTTTTTCCCCTTACAACCTAATGAAAAGTTTGTAACTCTCATTCCTTAAGTGATACCTCATTAGGTATTCATTAATAAAAAATGGACCTCAGAAACCCTGGAGCATCTGTCTTCAAGATAGGTGACCAGACACAGACAGTGGAATGTGGAAATGCATGTTCCCAGGAGCAGATGTTTTAGTCCCTGATGCTCATCGCTTGTCGTGCAGGCAGAGCAGCAAAGCTTTCAGTGGAATCTCAGATGAAGAGGCGGGAAGAGAAGCCAACAGCCAAGAGAAAGTTACATTTTCATTGCTGAGCTGGAGGCATGACCAGGGAGAGTATGGCTGTGCCCACCTAAAGTGGAAAGCACAGAGCAGAGTGGCTTCTCAACCAACTCAGGACGAGTTGCTTAATTTCCACTCGACTCCCAGTCTCCTCACCTGAAAATGGGGGTATCTACCTTGTAGGGATGTTGTGATAATCAAACAAGTCAAAATATGAAGAATCTAGGAATACTGCCTAACACGTAGAAAGCTCTCCATAAATGATTGCTAGTACTATTACCTGGAAATCTTCAAGATTTGCAACAAAAGAGAAAAAATAACCCTTTTTCAGATGGGGATGGTGTGCAGCCTGTCGCTGATGGATTCTGAAGGCTACTTTGAGCCTGAGGGGACCGTGAAAAAGGCTGACTGCAGACAGCCAGGGTAATAACAACACCCTTAACAGTTCTCCGGGCATCTCCTGCAGTGGGTGATCTTAAAATCTCAGGGTTATGAATGCCCCTCCTACAAAAGTAGGACATACAAGGGGACAAGAGATACGAGCTTTCCAGGTCTCCAGAATGGCAAACCAGCGCTGAGTAGCCGCCACAAAGGGCTTCACATCCCAGACTTCAGTCTTGACAGGTTCAGTTTATTTATTCATACCCTTACTAAGGGCCACTGCCATGCAGTTGGTGATTTTTACCCTCTGTAGCTTTAAGTCAAAATATTTTAAATAATTAAAAAAATGTAGTCCATCAGGCAATAGTGTTTAATAAGTGACCTCTGTTTTCCACACATTTCAGCAGGTGCCTCAGGATATGCAGGTGAAGAGAATCTGCTTCTGCGTTCGGAACAAAGAGGATCAGCATCAGAGAGTGAGACCATAAGGGGATGGGGGTTGGGGAGGGAGTATGGTTTTGTAAACACATAACATTCACTGAATCCTGTTCTGTCAGAATTCAATGCTGACAAATTGCCACCATTACATATTTTATGCTATAACTGACCTATGTACCAATTTAAGGACGTAGGAACAGCAATTTCAATAATTACGGCAATTTTAGGAAAGTATTACTACCCAAATGTATTCGGATCACTTTGGAAGCACAGCATGTGTTATTTATTGTTTTTATAGGAAAAATATATTTTAATCAAAAAATTAATTGAACTGCAAATAAGCATATCATCATGCTCACATATTAAACTGATGAATTAAAATCCACATTCCTGATGTTTCTTAAAAAAAAGAAAAGGAAGTATTATGGGAGTTACAGCTTTGAAGGAATTGTGAAAAAAACAAACACAAATTAAAGACACTGGGAATAGTTTGGAACAGGAGAAAGGTTCTTAATGGTTATCTTCAGAGTAGAGCAGGAAGGGAGTGTCATGGATTTAAATCCAGGTGGACAGAAATTAATTATCCCCCTTAAAAAAGTCAGATAACTTAAAAGACAGAATCTATAACCAATATATAACATGACAGAAACCAAAACCAACAGAAGAAAAATTACCTACATATTTCTTGCTAGCCTAGGACTCTAATTTCACTTATATTCCACAAGGGAATTAGAGAAAAGAGGGTTTTGTTTTGTTCTGTGTTCTTGGTGAGTAGCCCAGTCTTATGAATTTTTGTATAATCTCAACAGCACCACAGGAAAAATCCTTCAGCAACTAATAAACTTTATTTGTTCTCTTTTAATTCTGATTTACACCCCAAGTCCAATATGATTGTGCTAGTTCTGGTTTTCTACTCAAGGTAGAAAATAAAATTACTTTTAGGCCATTTGAATCACCTATGCCTTTCAACAGATTAAACCTGACATTATTATAGCCTGAGATGTTCTTTCTATTCTGGAATGAGTACTGTTGCTTTCCCCTTCCCCTCTCCCTCCTTCCCCATTTCTTGCTTCCATGCTTCTCTCCTTCCTTCTCTCCTTCTTTCTTAAGTACATGCCCCTTTAAAGCACTGAACGTGTTATTTAGACTTTGGCCATCACTGTCGCTCAGATGGAGCAGTAGTTGTACACTGACAAAGCACTTTCCATCCAGGAGGTCCTAAGTTCCCAGGCAGGGGCAGCTCATCAACCCCTGCAACACTGACTAGAAAGCCCCACTGTAATGCATTTAAGGGGGCAGCCAGTCCCTGCCTGGGCATGAGGAGAAATGCGGGCCTTCTGACTAGAGAGCCAAGGTCCCCTTGCCTTAAGTGGAATGATTTTCTGATTCATTTATACAAAGAAAACATGTGTTTCTGGGAGATGCAGCAAAAAGGAATACTCTTTCAAATCACCCCTGTCTCACGTGGCTCCCCGAAATCATCTCAATAGAGAGGAAGAGAAGTTGGCAGAGCTCGGCACATTAATAGCAAACAACAAATTAATAACTATGTACTTTAATCTTCAACATTCATAATTGCACAAAGTATCACTGATCACTTAAATAATACATGTAGTTGATCTAATGAAGAACCTAGTAAAGTAGAACATTCAAAGCAATGCCTTGAATTTGTAAAAAAACTATTTTTAACTGAGTGTTTTTAACACAAAAAGTGCAGAATCAGAACACATCTTTGAGGGGTCGTTATTTAAAATCCTTACCAATAGGCAAAGCATTATGGAGAAACATAAATACATCAACTTGCCTGATCTCTCAACTAAATGCACAGTGATTCTAATAGGTTTGGCTACACTGGCTTTGCACGTATACACAGCAGTTTCTAACACTCTAGTGTTGTGAGGTGATGGGAATGCAGAATAGAAACAAAGGGGGCTACCACTTACTTTTCAGAACAGAGTGGGGGAGGTTTAAATTCCTGACTAGTCAACGTGAAAATAGCATAACGAGAACTTTGTCACAGAGACAAAAAATTTTTTTTTCTTAAAAATGTATATGTGTCCAAAATGGCTGAAAATCTTGTCCATGCTAGGGGAAAGTTGAGTGTGGAAAAATTTGCATTGAAAAAAATCTATGCTGTAAAGAAAATAAAAAGCCAGAGCATTTTGGCATTAGCAAAAGGCTGAACTTCGTTCTCAGGCAATAAATTTATGGGGAAACATGACAGGCTCCTCATTAAAGCTATGTGTACATTGGCTGAATTTTATACAAGATTCTTGAATCTTGTGGAAAATTGGGCACGGCTTGACATCTGAACAATGTCCCTGGTTTGTTTGATTTCTAAAGCATTGGAAAATGTTGCACTTTGGAAATCAAGTAGAGAAGAATAAACACACTAAAACAGAACTGGGCTGAATCTCAAAGTTATTTTTCCATATGTCTCTATAAGATATTTATTACCTTTATTTCTCCTGCACACACAGCCCCTCTTGCTGGAAATACTGTGATACTTTTTTTTTTTTGGTGGCGAGAAAATAGTCCCGTTAAGACAAATCTTACCCAGCAGCAATAACCACCTAAGGATAGGCAATTTTCAGTTGGCTTTTCAGAAGCTGGTTGCCATGACAAAGAGCACAATTTATTCCTTAGTCCCTTATCACAGCTACAGATCACAGACCATAAAAATTAACAAGGCTCTTTTTCCTTTTTCTGATGATTTCAGAGTTCCTCATCCTTACCTGAGGTCTTTTGTTCCCCCAATTAAATGGAATGAATGTCAGTCATCTAGCAATTCAATTAATGCTGATTCAAAATTCTGGCCCAAACAAGAATCTATAATCACAACCTCCTAATCACAGCTCAGTCACGAGAATGAAAAGTAAGCAGGAAATTGCACTAATTACTCAATTAGACTAATACTGTATTTTAAAGCAAGGGTTTAAGGGGTTGTCAGCTCTGACAATGGACTGTGGAGTTGTCCTCACCTTGTGTGCCCAACCAAAGCTGATGTTTTCAAGTGGCCATAATTTCTACCCATCTAAGATGGATGGGCCTGAGCTGTGTAATGGAAATTTACAACTAATAAACCAGCCACGAATGAGGGATGGGCCCGGGGGCTTCAACGGCTCTCCATCCAGCCTTGTACAGTAGACAGGGCTTTCCTGTGAAGGCAGCTGAGCACACATCACCACCTGCGCTGGCTCCAGGAAAACGTCTAGTCAGGAGGAGTGTGAGAGCTGCTATTACATCTTAAAACTGAGCAATGCTCACAGGCACCAGCCTCCAAATTCAAGACAGAGCCTGCAACGGGTGCTGGGAAAAGAGCTCCTCAGCCAGTGGGTCCACACTTGGTGGGGGCCTGGGGGCTAGGAATCATCTGCACCCCCGCGGACGGCCTCTACAAAGCCGACCTGGAGAACCTCCATGAAACCAAGAACACTGAGTGAAAAAGAACTGGCTGGGAAGGACACACTAGATGTGCCTGAAGTATTTACAAAACAATGCAGGACATAGACCAAAACAAGCTGGACCTTATTTAAAAAAAAGAAAGCCTAAAATAATTAGATTTTTTTTTCCGACTCAGTTTCAGAGACCTAAATACTCTGTAAACAATATGGAGGACACTAGAGACTGCCATGCCTCTGCTTTCCATAAAAATCCTTCCCGAGCCGGATGTGGGAGAGGAGCTGGAAACAGGAAGAGGAAAGGGAGCCTATCACCCATGTTGTGGTCTTTTCTCTGCAGCAGTTTCTGAAAATGACCAACTTGGGGACTGCTCAGGAGTTCTGAAAGGAGAGGAAACATTTATTTGACTAAGATAGTCGTTACTTCCATGGTTTGCCTTGCACGTGGCCACTGCCCAGGGAGCGGGGGTTCGGGTGGCCGGCAGGGCCTCCGGTGGGTAGGTTCTGACCGCTGCGGGTGCCTGGAACCTTGGAGTCTCTTCCAGAAGCATGAGGTTGTCTCAGCCGGCCTGAAGGGAGCAAAAAAAGCAAGGAGCAGAGCTGCAAGAATGATTCCAGGGACAATCTGCCAAGTACACTTTGAAAGTAATGAAGTCTTATGCTACAACCACGTTTAAGCTAATGGAGTCCTATTCAGCATCAACTTTAGACTAAAACCCACTCTTCTTGAGACTAACTAGAAGATGGGGAAGGGACCAGGATGAAAGGAAACCTGGATAGCTTTTCTTTCCTTCCTCTCCATTATCCCAACCAACCTCGTCCTTCATTCTTTCTTTGTAAAGAAGGGTGCAGGAATGATTAGAGGAAAAAGAGAACGCAGTGTGCTTAAGGAAAGGCTGGAAGGAGTTTAAACGTGCCCAGAAGCAGTGGAAGGAAACAAACTTTTCAAGAAGGAATCTAATCTTAGCCCCTCAACTCTGCCTGAGATACAAACTCTCTTTGACGGATACCTTCTCTTCTATGTCTGTGTGCAATGCCTAATTCTTGCCATAATCTGGGGTCACCTCCACTCCCCTCATCACAAACAGTACCTGCACATTCCCCTCCCCCCATAAATATTTTAAAAATCTGAATACAAGAGATCAAGCTTTTCATATGATGGGGTTGATGTTCAAAGCTGCAAACCTCAAGTTCTACAAAAAAAACATTACTTCTAAAGGTCAAAATATCTTACTAGGATTGTCTGCAGGACCCTGGTCCTCTTCCAGGTAATATTCTATCTTCTTTAGGTCTTCTGGGGTAAATCTCCACTTATTCTCAGCTGGTAGGGGTGGCACTTTGGGGCTGGATCGTTTCCGAGCAGAACCAGGAGGAAGGGCCTGCTGGCAAGATGCTGGCAGGGAACCCGTAATCAGTCCTTCTGGGAATTTCTGAGCTAAGACTTTTAGACCTAGGTGTGGAAGATCATCAGAAAAAGCACTATTAGCCTGGCGAGGCCAAGGCAAACCTGGAAGGGAGCCTGCATGTCTCATCTTTGGTCTCCAAGTCGAGGCCAACACGAGGACGGGAAATCTTTCTTAACTACTTCACCATTAAGTAAATTATACCAGAAGATGTCTGTCAGTTGTTATGTGGGATTCTGAGAATTCCACCAGAAATCCTTTAGCTCAAGTCTTCAGCATTAAGGCTTTCTTACAGGGCCATACATCAACATCATTATTTCAGGAATTAAAAACATGTGCTGAGGGAGCGGACAGAAGTTTCACATACTCCTGATTCCTTTCAGCCAGCATGGTTTTCTCTCTTCCCAGAACATTAAATTCTAAGCACTGGGAGGAAAAAGGCGATAGGGCTGGAGCTGAAGGACTGTGAGCCCCAGTATCTGTCTCTCAAGTCCTAAGCAGCATCAGCCTCCTCACCTCCGGAAAGCATGAAGAGGTTTTCAAATCCCCGCTCACACATGGTGGTGGCTGCCTGGCTGGCCAGCCTCTCGTCATCGTCGTATAGGATGATGATCTTGCCGTGGGCGTTTTTCTGAGTTGGGTGAGTTAAGGTTTGACCACACCAAGCTAATGCTCCTAGACTACACAGAAACCCCGGGGCAACAACAGCCGCCAAGGTTCACCTCTCTGAGTTCAGGGAGTATCAGACGACCCCTCTTTAGAGGGTACTGGATTTCTTTCTTGTCATGGAAACCACACAAGCTGGTATCCTTTTCTTTTATAAACTAGTATTACCATGTCCAAGACGGCACTGGTTACACACACAACATCTCTGGCTCTTTTATCTGGATGACTCTGCAGAGTCAGTATCACCACCTCCATTTTACAGATGAGGAAACAAAAAAACTCTTATGCCCAGTGTGTCCACTGCAACCTTATTTATAATAGTAAAAAAATGGGAACCACCTAAAAGACCAATAGAGAGGAATGGTTTAGAAAATTACAGTAAATCTGAAGATGCTGTATTACACTGCATCACAAATAGGGTATACAAAGAGCTTGTGTTAGTGTGGGGAAATACCTCGTAATATGAAGTGTAGGAAAGCAAGACACTAAATTATGTGTACAGTATGGTTTCTACTTTGTTAAAGAGAATATACAGAAGATAGTCTGGAATAAATGCACAAAAACATAGTAAGAGTTTGTTCAATTGTGTAATTATTTGGAGATTCAATTTAATTTTTTATATTTTTCAGTGTTTAAATTATTTTCTACTTGTGTGATTTTTATGAGCACGAAAATTAAATGTTAAGAAAAAAATTTAAATAGAAGGAAAAAACTTACTCCTTATGTTTTACTTGGGAAAGTTTCTGGGGAAAAAGTCTTAGGACTAACTCTCAATGGATCGTAACCTTTAACCTAATGTTTTTTGGCCCACTGTAGGATTGCTTGGAAGTATTCACAGCAACAGCTAAGGATCCAAATTCTAAAATATGCTTAATAAGCTAATTAATATCGAAGGTCCTTCAACGAGTTTTCTTACCAGGAGCATGATATGTTTGATTCTTATAATCCTTATACCACCCAACTCCTTAAAAATGCAACAAAGGATACATATTCAAGAATATCATTTGAATAAGGGTTCATTGTTCTAGACAGAGTTGCAATTGGGTAACTGTAAGCTGCAAAGAGAAGAAAAAGCTTAGGAAGTCTGCAGCTCTCAGTACAACTTGGCTCCAATTCCCAGTTGTTTTAAAGTCTAAGAGTTAAAATAAACATATTTTCAAAATCAACTAGCTATAAACCTAAATACTTTTGTGAAAGAAAAGAAACAGGACATGGAACAAAATACGAAGCTTCACTTCACTATTTCTGACGTTGAGCACTGGGCCCCTAAGCCCTCTGAGAATGTCATCAGCCTCTCAGAGAATATGGTAGAGCCAACTTACAGGTTCCCAGAATGCACCCGGCTCCGGTTTCCTTAACTGCTGACCATGGGATTGGTGCAAGCCTGCCTGGACTCAAAAATGGGCTCTGTTCTTGGCAGGAGACACTATAAAGCCTTCTCTCTCTTACCTCCAACAATGTGGCACTGCTGGTAAGAATCTCTATCTCGCACATCTAGCAGCAGGAAGGGGCAGTCGGGATAAGGCTTGTCTTTGGTGTTGGGCTCTGCTTTCTTCACAAGCCCTTTGTCTAGATCCAGTTCCCCAACACCACTGATGACGCTGCAAGTGAAAAAGGAGGTCAGCAGACACTGGTCAGGGATTGGTGGCTTAAAGGTCAAATGTGCTTCTTCAGAACAGTGAGAGAGTGCTCACTGTCTTTTCAAAAGATACTTCAGAGACAAAGGAAAATGGATATGGGGTCTCAGTTCTGCCTCTGAATACAAGATCCTACGGATGGATTCCTGTTTGATCACAATGGACCCCAAGGAGGGGACCCACTGTCCATACTTACCTTCAGAGAATGTATGTTAGGTCATTAGCATGGCTGAGTGGGTAGAAACTGTAAGGTGCATGCTGCCTCCAGCAACAAGGGAGTTCAGAGAAAGAAAGAGGCGGACAGTTAATCCAATGGATTTCTGATGAGTGTAGGAAAGCAGAGCAAAAGAGGAAAGAATAAACTTGATGGGACAGGAAAAATGGAGGCATTTCTATATATATGTAATATAAAGTAACAATGGTGTTTTAATATATTTCATATACTTATACAGTGACCTATCCAATATGGATTTTGAACATTAATGTTTTCAATAGTTTATCTGTACTCACTTCCATTTTATAGGTTACAACACTGACGCTGAAGAGGCTTTTGATTTGGTGGCATTCATAAAAACTAGGATTAAAATGAGGACGTTTACCACTGACAGTTCTGTTTCTGAGGTCATAAAATCACTAAAATTGCTCACCATATTAATATAGGCAAAATGTGGCAAAAACATGAATCAGAGAAAAAAGAAGAATAGGTATTATGAACAAAATGGCAAGTAGTGAAATATCTGCATTGGAATAAGATGATGATCACTTTCCTAGGCAAATAGGAAGACACATATGCCAAACCACAGATCAGTCTGTAGCAACAGTTCCTCTCCCATCACAGCAAGTCAAATTCTGCCTTTAAATCCAATAAACACAACTGTATGTCATATAGTGCGTATTTTGTTGAACCAAAGGAGAAGAAACTATTTCTCACGAAACTGAATCTTCAATGGAAGCCTTGTTGGTGTGGCTTGTTTTCAATGCAATTTTAGAGTCCTTGCACAGAAGGTTATAAAAATAATAATATTGGTATTAATGATAGCAATCCTTTCTCTGTTAGAACTGGCTTCTCTAGTAGAAGGGATGGATATGTGCTGAAAATCAGCCCTGTCTTATAATCAGCAATGAATACTGTGAGAAATCATTGCATCATGTAACTGCCATGTGCAGTTGGAGAACTGACACCAAGGCTGCTTTCACTCTCCTTTGCGCCTATTTAATATCAGAGCACTACGTGTGGCACTCTATTTTTCTTCTGATTCTAGACAGGGTAATTATAAGCTGCAGCAGACAGAAGAGGAGAGGGGAGAATCAAACTCCCTGAGTCAAAAGATAGTGGTTGTAAAGCTAAGTCCTGATAGCAAACTTGCGTATAGGAAGGCTGAGAAGAATGGAGTTGAGGAGTGAAAATTAATGCTCTCCTATCAAATATATCCTTACATTAACTAAGAATGCTGTGAACAGACTCAGGAGGTGGCATTTATATAAAGAGAAAATAGAAGGGCTTGGCTGAAAATGTGGGACCTCACTATTGCCAATCTGTTTCTAAGGTAATTAAATCACTGACATTGGTATCTAGATTAATGAAGGTAAAGTGCAGTGAAAACACGAATCTGATGAGAGCACCTCTGAAGAGTTGAGCGGCTGGAGTCCCCGGCTCCCGCACTGTTTATGAACTGGACGGGGCTTGGCGATTGCTCCCCGGGGCTCCCTTTCCCGTTGGTCCTGGCAGTGATTTCAGCATCAGGGTCTGAAGTTGCAGAACCATTGTCTAAAATTTGCAAATAAATAAGTAAGTAAATTTAACTTCAGAATCTGTATTTTCTTTTTAGGCAGTTCCATTGAAATTAGGTGGAAAAAAAAGAAAATCATATCACCGTTATTAAATTATTAAGTTCTAACATATATAGACTCTCAAAATGTAGTCTGTGGACCCCAGGAGTCCCCAAGACCCTTTCAGGGGATTTGCAAGATGAGAATTATTTTCATAATAATATTAAGATGTTATTTGTCTTTTTTACCGTGTTGATATTTGCACTTACTGTGCAAAAGAAATGGTGGATGAAATGGCTGGCAAGAATCAGGGCAGAGGTACTAAGTTTTATTAGTAATTATTGCATTTTTCATCAGTACACACCCACCCACAGTTAGTAAATATGGCAATAATATTTTTAAAAGTCCCTGACTGAAGTAGTAATAATAATTTTATTAAATCTCACCCTTAAGTACACATCTTTTTTAAGACTCTGTGTGATGAAATGGAGAATCCACATACAGCATGTTTGCTACATACCAGTGTCTCAAGGAAAATTATGAGTGTGAGTAGGCTGCTTTTGCCTTGAACATCATTTTCACTTGGAAGAAAAATTGACAGGAAAACTATGGTTATTTAGATTTGTGCATATGGCAGATACACTCTCAAAAATCATACAAGAGAACTTCTCATTTCAAGGAAAACAACTGATGAAATAGTATTTGTTGCAATGATTAAATCTCGAACAAAAATCTGAATTTTGGAAACTGCCATCAAAAGCTTGACTGATTCCCTGTCTTAATGACTTTTCTGATAAGACAGGTGTTGAGGTTAATAAATGTGACTTTTTTGATATTGTGTAATGAAGTTTGTCAACATTTGGAAGATCTTCATAACTCAGTGAACCAATATTTTCCAAATGACCAATGAGCGATGTTATAAAATCATAAATGGGTAAAAGATTCATTCAGAATGCAAGAAAGACCAATGGGTTTACTGTAACTGAGTATGAAAGCTTCATTAATAGAGTTTCAGATTCTACACTACAGCTAACCTTTAAGACGCTACCAGTCACCAGGTGTTGATGTAGTATCAAAGAAAAATATCCACAATTATCTGAGAGGGCTATTAAAATATTCTTCCTTTTTTCAATTACAGATCTGTGGGAGGCCAGATTTTCTTCATGTACTTCAATCCAAAGAGCATATTGCAACAGACTGAATGCAGAAGGTATGGAAATCAGCTGTCTTCTATTAAATCAGACATTAACAAGACTTACAAAAATTGTAAAACATTGTCATTCTCCTTATATATTTTTATTTTGGCAATATAGCTATTTTGCATACAAATATGTTATTTATGTTTATAATGGGTTTAGTATTGTTATTTTTAAGTAAAATAGTAAATAAATATTTTTAAAGTTCTCAGTTTAAATTTTTAAAGTTCTCAGTTTAAATTAAATTTTTAATACCTTAAATATTAAGAGAGATAATTCACATAAGCCAAAACTCTTTGAGGTCCTCAAAAATTGAGTGTAGAGGGAGACTGATACCAGAAAGTTTGAGAATTTGCTGTTCTAACCAGGTTAGCACAATGAGAGAAGAAATAGAAATAAGAGACCTAGATATTAAAGAAGATTTTAAATTTTAATTTGCATGTGATGTAATATACCTAGAAACTTTAAGAGAACTTTATGAGACTAAGGGAAATAAATATGTTAGATTATAAAAATAATCGAGATTTTAAGGTTAATTATAAAAATGACCTATTTACAAGATAAATAGATTAGATTAAATAAACTGCTAACAAAATATTTTTCCTATATACCAATTAGAAATTAACACTAAGAACATTTCATTTACAGTAACAACTGCAGATATAAAATATACTTTCCTAGAAAGTAAACCTATTAAGAAATGCAAAGGACCTGTAAAAACTTATAAGTCCTTTATAGGTCTTACAAAAATTTTACTTAGGGACATTAAAGAAGACCTGAACTAAGAGAATGACACACATTGCATATTCCTTACTTGGTGACTAAAAGTGAAATGATGTTAGTCTTTTCCAAATTCAGTGTTTAGCCTTAATACAAATCCTAGTGGGCTTTAAAAAAAGCTTAAAATGATTTTAAAGATGAGAAGAGAAAAAAAAGTATGTGTATATATATACCTATATATATATAGACAGAGTGAGAGAGAGAGCAATGTAATTTGAAGATGATGCCTTATCAAATAGTAACATATATTAAAAAGGTAAATAATCAAAACAATGCAGAACCATAACCAAAACAATGGAAAATAATAAAGAATACAGAAACAAATCCTAGAATATATATAAAAATCTAATGTATGTTAAAGGTAACATCAGAAATCAATGAGTAAAGGGAGAACTATTAAATAAATGGTGCTGGGATAATCTGTCAACTATCTAAAAAAATCAAATTTAGATAAGCCATTCACATCATATACCAAAATATATAACAGATGGATTGATGTAGAAAAAAACCCCACAACAACCAACCAAGTTGATAGAAGAAAACATAAGTTAATATCTTATTTCGGATTTTATGAATCTAAAGCAATAAAATACAGCATTAAAGGCCAATAGATTTAATCATGTAAAAAATGCAAACCTCATATATGTCAAAAACCAACACACAGAAAATTAAAAGGTGAATAACATATTAGGAAAAATATCTGTGATATATATGAATGAGAAAAGGCTAATATCCTTAATTTATTAAGAGTTTTGAAATTAGTTCTTTAATAGAAGAAGGATCATGCGCGCAAGGTAAAAACGCAAGCAAGATAAAATTGTTAATATGGACAGGAAGTCTTCTTCCCACTCCAGACCTGCAGGCCCTCAGGCCTCCTCCCCCAAGGAAACCCCCTTAACATATTTCTGTCTCCTTCCAGAAATGAAACAACTACATATTTTGCATATATTTTATTTCCTCCCCTTTTTACATATCCAAGAGAATGCTATTCATACTGTTTTACATTTTGGTTTGCTGTTTATTTTGTTATTGTTTTATTTTTACTTAGTAATACTGCTTGGGAATTGTTCCAAATTATCAAGTAAAGATTTTTCTTATTTATTTTCAAGGCTATCTTGGTTTTCAGTGGATAAAGATAGCATAATTATATAAGGCTTTTATAAATCAGTAAGTAATTCCATTAGAAAAAAATGGGAAAGGACACATAATGTCCTCAAAACAAGAAATATGTATGACCAACAGATACATGCGAAGCTCAGTAACACTATCAGAGAAATTCAAAATAAAACTATTAGATACCATTTCAGATCCATCAAATTGGAAAATATTTACGAAACCGAGACTCATTCAGCATCGGCTAGGATGGAGAGAAATGAGTCCCCTCTCTCATTTGCTTGGTGAGAATACAAACAGGTAGAACCTTTCTGGAAATAATGTGAAATCATCACTGAGTATGTTAAAATGTTTACACCCTTGGACTATCTGCAGCAATTTATCTTTAGGAAATAATGAGAACCATACAAACATTTATGTATTTACATTACAGCATTATTTTATAAAAATGAAAAATTAGAAAAAATCAGTGCCCAACAGTAAGAGATTAAATAAATGATGGCATATCCAAAGGACAGACATTATATGACAATTAAACTTATGAAGTCTATTTAATGACATAGGGAAGTGTGCTTGATAAAACGTTAATTGAAAACACCATAATAAAAAAATATATACAAAGAGTATGGATTTGGGTAGGGAAAATAGACCAAACTGTTAATACAGTTTATTATTTTAATTTTCTTCTTTATATGTTTTTTACAGTTTTCTAATTTTCTAGAAATATACTTTTAAGTCAGGAAAAGACAATAAACATTGTAAAAGGAGATTTTTTTTATTCCTTCAAAGATAGACAATATGCACACAATCTGTCCTACAGGCATTCCTGAGTGAGTTATTATTCTGTGTAGAGCACTAGAAAAACACTAATATTACTCACACATTATGGTGTCCTACTTTACAAGAGCCTATTTTGCTGTGCAAATTTATCTCAGAAGAGAAAATTGCATGTGCCCATATGGTGTTGCCATCTCAACAATGAATTAAAGGACCAAATCCAGGTACTTATATAACCAGGTTAAAATTGGGAGTGTTGTATGAGAAGACTCAATTATCTCTATTACAAAGAGCCCTTATTTTTCTGCCGTGTGAGAGGCATCCGTCAAAGATAAATTCCTGTCTTTTTCAGATTCTCTTTATCCTCTCTAACAAAAACAAGCCCAGGGAAATGACAGTTAAGTTGTACAAACCCGGTGTTCAGACTTCCTGAGAAACTTGTCTTGAAATCAAAAGTCAAATTCCTGGCCTACATCAACCTTAACAAAACACATTCCCCTTCAATAAACAGTCACACATTGACAGCTGAGTACCTCAGGATGAAATAAAGACCTTAACTCTGTGAATTCTTTTCATGAGAGAACACCTAAGAGGTTTTCTTTTTCAACTTGGTATTTACGAAAGGAAATCTGGTGCCTACCTATCTTTCTAGCTTTATCTCTTACCCCTACACGTACTCTGCCCTCAGACCACAGCCAGACAGGATTATGCGAATCCTCAAACAAGCTTGGAGCTGCTGCTTCTCCGTGCCTTTGCTCGAGGTGCTCCTGAGCCTGAAACAGCCTCACATTTAACTTGCACCTGTTGAGATTCTACCCGTAAAGGGGGCCCAACTCAAAAGCCTGGAGGAAGCCTACCTCAGTTTTTTAACCAGAAAATACGGAACTCTCATGGCACCCCGTATTTCTCGAAAGGCACATTGCAGAACCCCTGAAGGATGCAATACAGGCAGTGAGAGGACACTGGTTGCTATCAGAGACACACAGATTTGTATCCTATGTCCATTCCTTACTGGCTATGTCACCTTGAACAAGTAGTTTAACCTCTGAGGCTTGGGCTTCTCATCCATAAAGTATACCTTCCTTCTAGAGCTTTTGAGAAGATTAAATAAGAAAGCTCACGTGAAGTACCGAGCAATATATATTCAACAAATGACGGTTTCCTTCCAGTCCTCCATTATGAATTTCTGCCAAATTAATAATTTTGTGTTTATCATTTTCCCCACCCGACACACATACTTATGTGCACGTGCACACTCGTGGCTACAAACTCCGCGGAAGCAGAGCTGCATTTTATTCATCTTTTTAGTCTCATAGCACCTAGTTCTGTAACCTTTATGTATACAGCAGGCACTAAAACTATTTGTTGGAAATAAGTAATTAGTATATTAAACACATCTAAAACATTTAAGAGTATAAATGCTACAGCCAGAAAACCAGATCGCTTTTTAAAAGAAATAAGAATTAACAAAGCACCAGATAGCATTTCTCAGAGAGTAACAATCTAATTACAAATAAATATATCAAAGTCCCACATCCCTGTGAACACAGGGTGAGTACTTCAGTCATATGGTCAATCCATTATTTTCCTCACATCCTCAATTCTTATTACCTTCTAGCCTTTGAATCTCCTCAGCTGTGACTTCCAGTGTTTGATCAGATAGGGAAGCAACTTGGATGACCTGATAGAAATAAGAATGAAATGTGTAGATGTGTATGTTTGTCTTTAAACAGAGGGAATTTTGTCTTTTACAAAAGACAAGGAAATATCAAACATCAAAGATCTCCTGTTTTAAGACACTGTCAGTGTCCTCAATTAGAGACTAAATCGCAGGTCTCCTTAATTTAGGGGTGGTAATTACATCACAGATGCTCATTCCAGAAGAAAAGACTTGTTTAAAACATTACACAATAAACTTAAAAGACCAAAAGGATAATTTTGGACAAGAAACATAAATAAGAGTTTAAAACTGTATTCATACATATGTCTAGGGCCAACATAACATGCTATTTCTTGAAAATGCAATACTTACAATAACAGATTTGTATCAGCAATTCTTCATGCAATAAAGAAATAAATGTAATTATGAATATATTGATTAGTTTTTAAAGGCCTTTTCACAACTTAGCTCATGAGATCCATGATCCAGCCAGAGTTACATCGCTGGAATCCTTGTTTGGGGGCCAGAGAGACACTTGTCCTTAATATTCAAATGAAAGAAGAAAGTGACTTTCCCAAAGTAACAGAATAGCCCATGGTAGAAAGACTTGGAGAAAGAGCTCGTCATAGACAGGAGATCAGTTGGTTTCCACAGGGAAAAATGTCCAAACAATAAAGAATCCAGAATTCTAGATTCTAAATACCAAATTAAATGGACAAGGTAAAATAAAACCTAAACCACAAATCTGATGATTAAAAAGCAGAATGTACTTTATAAAATTCTTATCAAAGAAAAAAGAAAAGTTTCATACCAGTTAGTCCTCTCATAGGTGAAATATAAAGAATGAGAAGAAACCCCTCTGCAAACTTTGCCTAGAGTTGAATTTAGAAATACTCACAAAGCAGCACAAATTAGACAGTCTTTACGCCAATGAAAGATCATTAAACTTACCAGCTGGGCAAAAGTTGTAACTTTTAGTCTCTTGAAAAGCTCATCTTTTTTGTATCTATAATCTGAAAAGCAGGATAGGACAAATATTTTTCCAGGCTTATTTTGCTTTCTTAGAGGTATTAATTCTTTCTAGCCATCAAGTTACACGGTATATTTTTCTAGTTATTTACATGCTTTTACAAGTATTATCTCATTTGATCCTTACAATATTCTCAGAATTAAGTCTCGCAGGTATTGTATCATCTCTTCATTTATCCCTTTGCTTTGGCCAAAAGTTGAATTTATAAGCTATCTTTTTGGGGTCTAGTGATTTTACCCCTTGCCTTTATTTTATTCATCTACCATTTTCCTTACTATGCTATATCTACTTTGACCATAGTGTATGGCATGTATTTTAATAAGCCCTTTAAATCCTTTTCAGAACCAGGCAGGGAAGAAACATCTGCATTTTACAAATGAGGACAGAGACCCAGAGAAGCTGACTTGCCCTAGGTCAAGAGCTGGTAAGACATTTACACCCCACTGTTCCATCTCTGCCCCGAAAAGAGAACAGTTCTATTCCTGAGGTTACAAACTATGCTAGAGACACAGCACAACCCCCTACTTCTTTTTCCTAGAGTACAGTGCTGGGCGCAAGTGCTGGGTCCTCACAATCTCTTGTATCAGTTTTCTTTCAACTCCACTTCAATAAAAATCAACCTATTCAATTTTTGCAATATGAACCAATTCTGAAGGTCTATTGTACAACAAAGTAAATATACTTAACACTACTGAACTGTACACTTAAAAATGGTTATGGTAAATATTATGTGTTTTTTTTTAAAACCACAATTAAAACAAAATAAAAATCAACCTAAAACATCAATATTTAATCAGCTGTCTTTACAGTTCTACGACAACTCAAATGGAGGTACTCCTGCACTTGTTTATATTAACAATTCTTCATATTAAACAGTTTTTTTTTAATTTAGCCAATCGCACTTTATCTATTATTTACCCCGTGGAGGCATGTTAAAAATTGGCTTCCCTAAACTTTTCTGGAAGTGACTGCCAATTCTGATGAGTTCTCAGCATTGAACTCCCACCCACCCTTACCCTTCACTCCTATTCTAGGTTTGTATATTGGTGTCCATGACTCTTTAAATACTGCCTCATTATTTCAGAATTAGTGAAGGTTAGCTGGATAATTATTGTGGCCTTTACTGTCTCATAAACCAAGACTCCTAGCAACAAAGGAAAGGATTAAAGGCACTTAAGATTATTTACCTGGTGTTACTAATCATTTCCATGAATTTTCAAAAAAAAAAACCCAGAACAGACTGGACAGCTACTTTGGAGGATAATGTTAGCTTGGTTTACCAAACACCTTACAACTCGGAGTCAGGAAATACTACCTTAAAAACAAGCCTTCTATAAATATATCAAGACTCCTTTTTACAGGGAATTAAAGCTTCTTATGTTCTAAAATGTCTTGAAGAGAGCAATATGGCTAAAAACTGACCATTACTTCTAGAAAAGTCTTAGAATAGCAGCTTCTGGATACAACAAGTTAACACACTTAGATGCAAAGGAGCGTCTAAAACCCGCCAGGATGCAGATTCAAATAAACTAAGCAGAAGCTTTAAAAAGTGCAAGTGAAAAACTACAGTATTCCTCTCAATTGCCACCAACTTGTTCACCAAAAGTCATTTATGTAAATCAAAATGGCAATAAATCAGCCAATGAAAACAATTAACAGCTTCCAAGTAGTTTGCACTGTGGCACCTATCCACTGACATCTTTTGGTATCACTGCATAGTCTGAAATACTTCTCCAATTCTTCACATTCTAAGTACAAAATGTACACATTAAAACCCCCTTTAAATAGAAATTACCTTAAACAAAAAAACAGGCTCTGCTATTTTCTAATGATTGACATTTCTAGTGTCCTCTCATAAGCACTAGAAATCCCACTGCACATTTGAGCCTGAACTCTACATACCTGGTTCTGGTTTAGAAGGACAGCCATCATTAGGACTTTCTGACATTATTACTCAGAGATAAAAGACCAAACTAGACGTTTTACAGTAAGTTAAGCTTTAAATTTTATAAAAAGGATGACTTGGAAAGCTCTGTCAGTCTGTCCTTGCAAGGGCGAACTGAGCTTTAAGAATGGAGCTTTTGCTACTGTAGCTTCTCCCAAACTCTGTGATGGAGACAAATCATCCTAGTTTCAGATATGTTATCAAGTTTTGCTTCTCCAGTAAGTGGAGTCTAAGTCTGTCTCTCTCGAGTTACTGGAAGGACAGAGACCTGACTATCTAGGATGTTTCACACTGGGTCCAACTAGTGTCATCTAACCACGAGCAGCCAAGAATGGGCTTTGTAAACAGTCAATAGACATAGAGTGTCTATTTTCTCCAGGCTGAGTTGAAAGAATATTCAGATTACAAAGGAATTCTGCATTTTCAGTGTTCTGTTAAAACACGTTATTAGCAAAGGGAAGTTGGGCTCACAGTGGAGGACAAATCAAAGGAAGTAACAGGACAAGGTTTGTGATTTCACAGAAAGACATGGCATCTAAGGTAATCTGAGAAAAGTGATGGGTTTAGGGTGTCACAAAACAAGGCAATATTCTCCTCCCTTCTGACCCAAAAGAACATCTACAACAGAAGATGGGAAAAAAGAAGGAAATATCTCCCAAAATGTAGATCCCAAACCAGAATCTGAAGTAACTGTAGTCAGGGAATCAGCACAAAGCATGTGAAACAAGGTGAGAGGAACCTCCTGTCTTACTAAAAGGAAGCTCACAACTTCTAAAGAGGGAAGGTGAAGTAAGCCTTTTCAAGGACTTTAATCCAAAGGTATTTCTTTTGGGAGATAAGCTCCATTTAAAGTTTAGATATTAAACAACACTGTGCTTTTAAGAAATGTTTTAGACAGGGTTTCAGCAATCTGGGTGGAACAGGACAATTTTTATGGGACAAATTTTGGTGTGGACAGGTGAGCTTACACCGAACTACCAATGGATAGGAGGTGGAAGAGGCTACAAACCAAAACAGAAGCAGGCCAGCTGAAATTTGCCTGCCATGGATGAATTAAGGACGACAACAATGAAGTGTAGGTGAGTAGACAAGATTTTTTTTCACGGTTTAAAATTTTAATATACACTTAAAATATATTTAAAATGTAACATTATATATGTATATATAACATTTAAATATGTAGCATAAAATGTATAAACATATTATAAAATATGTAAGAAGAAAAGGACACTGATATTATATATTAGAAAACAAATGTCTACAGCATTAGCCCTTGTATAGCTGAACGTGGCAAATAACACATTTGGCACGAAGCTGCTCCTGCACCCACATCTATTGTCTGGGGTTTCTCAATACTGCAGCAATTCAACAAGAACAGAAACATTATCATTTAAATTAAAAGGTCTGCTGTGTAAAAATAAAAGTTCTGGTGAATTCTGGATTTGTAATATTCTCTTCCCAGAAGAGGTATATTACCAGAGCTAAGTCCTGAACTGCTATCAATCAGAGCACCTCCTTACTGCCATTAGCTCAATACTCCCCTAGCACTGGGTTCTCTTCCTGAAGCTATGAGCAAATCCATCTTAGAAAATAGATGTTCCTACTTCTTCTCGAATGCTGGCCTAGATGTGTACATTTTACAGCTGTTTTGGACACAGACTGAAAAATTATGATTTTGTGCAAGGGCAATGCACTCAATGACTGGTAGCATATCTTTGCTGAAGATTAGTTTTGAAAAAGGGTGTGCATGAAATACGATTTTTAATTAAAAGAAAGCAGACTGCAATGAATTTATAATACATAACACTACTCTAAGAATAAGCTGTTTCTTTCTCATACCTCTAAGTCTTTCATGAATACTGTTGAATTTATACTTAAAAGAATGTTATGAAATAAGAGAGATATTATTACTCCTATCTCAGGTATAGAGAAAATAAGAAAATAGGGAAGATTAAGTACTTTGAATAAAGGTCATAAGACTGCTGTACAATGAAACCAGAAGCTTGGGTTCTCACTATTTAACTAGAGGTCACTCCACGTTAATATCTCCTACAGGATCTAAGTCAGACAGAACTCAGACCCAGAGACCATGATCTTAGCAGCTGACCAGAATGGCACACAGTGTTTCCCACATCCGTCTAGGCACCTGCCAGGCTCACCTGACTCCCATAGCTCTCCGTGTGTGTCAGCTGTAGAGTGTGGTTTGGGTTGTTAATAACCAACTTATAGAACAACTACAGGGTTCCATTATCTCAAACCATCAATAGAGTTACTCACTTCTTTTGATCTCTTCTAGCTTCTCAATGTATTTAGTCATACTGTTACCTAAAAAGAGAAGGAAGATTTTAGATATGCTTTTAATGGAAGACAATGAGTAACAGTGTGAAAACAGAATGGAGTACAAGTGTTCCCTGAGCCTTTCCATCCAGTTCTTACAAAATTACAGTAGACAAATGGATCAGACATGGTAAATAGTCTTTTGCATTATACAGCCTCACTAAAAGATGAGGAGGAATCAAGGGAAATGTTTTGGTCAAACGTGTTTAAACTGAGTTGCACACCTAATAAACATTAAGAACTCCCCCCAGGCAGTAAAAATGATCACTTTATGTAATTTTTTTTCTTTCTGAGTTAAAGCTTTCCTTCTTTATCCCCCTCACCCCCCATACGTTTTTTTGTGGGGAAGATATGCAGAGGAAGAGAAAGAGCAGTGACCTCTGAGTGTCTAAAATGTGCCATGGTGCCCACCCGAGCAACCCCTTCCTCTCCGCTAAGTCTCTGTGGTTTCCTCCTGTTTCCTGAACTTGGTCCCACTATTTGTGCTGCTGTTGCAGCCTAAACTAGACCACACAGTCTGCACACCACATTCACCAAGGATCTGATTGCTGAGAAATGACAGCAGATTCCCACCACCGTGGAGAGTCCCCAGCCCTCATGTTTTACAGCCTGGTTCTACAACACTACTTTCTAGCCAAGGTGGTTTGGAGAGTTTTCACGCATTAAAACTGGGCCAGGATCATTCTGGCTTCCGAATGAACTAAAGTCTAGTTCTCAAGCCAGGGGCTATTATTTTTTACTGAGCATGCTCGATTTGATTCAATTCAGCACAGCAAGCTCTATCTGGCATCTAAAAGGTGTAACAACAACAAGAAAAATCAACCATTCAAAACCTCATTTCTGATTTTGTGCTTCTAACTTAAACCTTGATAGGAGCTAGTCAGATTCAGTCCCAACTTCAGACAAAAGAAATGCTTCCAATTAATAGCATGAACTGTGTTTTCAAGTACTATTCTGAACCTTCATGTTTAGGTGAAGCAGAGAAAGAAAGTTCTTGCTCTGAAACCCAAAATACATTTTCAAAAAAATAACTTATGTCTTTTGCTATTATTAAATCTTTACCATAAATTCATCATGGGATAAAACTCCACTGAGTTAAAAAAATTTTTTTTTCATCTAAAGACACACAGTCCCTAAATCAGAACCAAAAAATAGGACTTAGTATAGTCCTGGATCCAGACAATATCCTTCCAAAGCTCAGAGAGACATGACATTTGTCAGGGGTGCTCAGAAGGCCCCAGCCTTCTCAAGACAGATACTGGGAACATCTCAGAAGAGGTCCAAATAGCACCAAAGACCAGTATTAGAACCAAACATGAGCTTTTCTAGGTTCTTCAGGTTGGAATTGACCTGGAAAGTAGTGAGATCTCCACGGTGAGCTCCTCAGCCTCACACCCCTCTCCCCAGCAACTCAGTACTCAGGCAGGAGCTTGACTGGTCAGCAAGCAGGCGAAGAAGGCAGGGCCAGTGGTGTGTTGTTCAGCATCCCCCAGTCTTATTCTTATGCTGTTTTACACAGTAGCTTCTGGTTACACGTTCCTGAGTCCCTTATAGTGCCATGTCGTTGATTACAGCGCTTAGTTTGCTTTGGTCAGAGAAGCTTTGAGCTTCCTCCCAGAATCGTCAGAAAACTAAGGTACAAAAAGGGATTACTGACTTGCTCAGTGACACAGCAACTTAGTAACTGCAAGTAACTGCAAGCAAGTCAGATTAGTATTCCTAATCTCCTGGTTGCTAATATGGCTCACAAAAACACATAGCTTCTCTAGCTGTGCTGTTTTAAAAACATGATTTCACTGTGAGGTAAATATGTAGGAAGTGTTACTTCCTTTACTGTAGCAGGTGGGAACCATTTTATGCTCTAAATTCCTTGAGGCACACTATGCATGGGAAACAGTAGCCAACCTCATTATATAGTTTTTATTGTTAAAACACTGCATTTCCAATTTATAGTAGTTTCCACTAACAAAGTGTCTAAAATCCATTTCTCAGTCAGTCATCAACATTTTCAGAGTATTGACACAGCGCTTCACCTTTGTACCCGCAGAGCCTCTCAGTGACCCTGTGAGGTAGGCTGTCCTTCCTACTGTTTGTTTTTCCCACTAAAAGAGAAGACAGAGAAAGACTCTTGCAGAGGTATACAAATATTTGGCAAAATTAAGAATAAGTCTAAAAGGGCTATTGATAAGAAGCTCTTTTCATTACAGCTATTCATTCCATCCAAGCTGGGGGAGGGGGGAGAAAATGGAGAATTTCTGCACTGCTTCAACTGGAGAAATGAGACGGGGTACAGCTGACACAGAAAATCCCTAAAAATAATTTTAGAAAATAAGAAAAGTGGTATTTTACACCCACTTCATATACTGGTTATATCTTAACTAAGCAGCTTATCTTACTGGATCTAATTTCATCTGAAAATAATTTTTTGAATAACTTTTAAAAAGAATACAAATGAATCAATCCTATAACTGACTTATTTATTAACACATCTTTGTTTTATATAAAAGTAAGGAGCCTAAAAGACTACCAACAGACCAATTTTTTTCAATTGAAATTACACATTCCTGCTAGAAAAATTTTCTTAGATAAGATTTAAAAAAAGTCAGTGGCTCCCCATTGTTTACTGACTAAAGTTTAAACTCCTTGGTCTACTGCTGAAGGCGCCAACATCTTCCTACCTCTTCAATCTTGCCTTAATTACTAAACTTGACAAACTCTCTGTTAGTCTTCAGTTCTCTAACATGTCACCTTGCCCATGTAATCATAATAGCTCACACAGCTGGAAGTGACCTTTCCCTCCTCTGAACTTCTGCAGCACTCGGCTTACCACTCACAAGGCATTTATCATTGTACTGCCGTATTTTGTGTGCAAGTCTTATCTACCTTATTATACCGAAAGCCCAAGACTGTTTACACACACACACACACAGAAGAAATCTTTATCCCTTCCATCGTCTAGCATAGGAGGCACTCAGAAATACTTGCTAGATGAAATATACTATGAAGCTCTACTATCTGAAGAATCCTTACAACGAATTATTTTATAATGTAAATAACCACACCCCAATTTGGTTTGTGTTTCTGGACACTTGATTTTCTCTAAGCTGAACTCAAACTGATTTATATATAGGTCGTATATGTTATGTACCACTTATATGACCCATAGTGTTTCAGGACTCAAGTAACCTAGAAATGTATACGGTGGTATTTAGCTTCTACTTAGTTTATAATTTAAGTTGCAACCTAAGATGTATAAAAAAGTTTTACAATTAGAATCAAGAGAAAGAGACAACTCAACTATATCAATAGTGCTAAGCAAAGAGAGAGCACAATTGATGAACTGAGTGACTCATTCATTAGATTTTTTGCTTTGTTTTCCTATAATTTAGTAACATTATTTGTACTGAGCCAGTAAGAAAAGCAAGTGATTTTGAGCAGCAGTAATCTAAAGTAGGTAAGATTTATAAGGCATGAACTCAGTTGCTAAGAGACAACTCCATTGCTTTATTTTTCTTCAATATTTCCCTCCTCTATGGAGAAGTTCTTTTGGCTCAGAAGGAGCAGAAAGCGTGAAAAGAGGCACAGTGGTCCTTTGTTAATCTCAATACGTTATACGAGCGCATAGTGCTTTCTGGTTTGTAAAAGGCTTTCACATACGTTTCTTCCTTTGACATAAGAAACAGAATTAAATACCAAATAAAAATGAAGAGTACCTAGTCTGTAATGAGTTGGAGTGCTTAAGATCAAGGCTATTAGCAGATATTCAGGAAAGTAAAGACTAAAGAAGCAAAAAAGGAAATGACTTGTTTGTATGGAGGTAAGAAAAGTAATACGAATTTTTTAAAATAAAAATAAGGCTAGAAAAGACTGAATGGGGAAAGTCTATAGAGTTTTAAAAAGCTAAAGAAATCTGAAATTAGATTGAATATAGACTGAAATGAGAGCATAATGCCAGCAATGAAAGAGTGTAGGAGACTAACAAAGGGAGAGCCTGTGCTTTGGAAAGTGTCCCTTAATCAGCCTGCAGTGCTGTGGAACGGAAACCCAGAGAGGGTGCTTGAGAATACACGAGAACCCTGCAGCGGAGCCTGAACAAAACGCCGTCAGGGATTTCATCGGAAGCATAATCCTTTCACGGCACAGTCTGGCAATGATGGGGAGCTGGTAAGATACACTCAGGCACCTATGGAACAAAAGAAATATTTGAAGTTCAAAATAATTCGGATATTTCTAGCCATGGCTTTACATTGGTGTTTGAGTTTATAACAGAAGTAGAGTCAGAAGGATAGAAATAAAAAACAATCTTTACCCAGGAAGAAGATATCAGTGTTTGAAGAACTCAGTAGAAGGTGATTTGGGTGAAGACAGGAGATGCCACGAAATTCTTGATTTCTTGTAATAAACTCTGAATTGCTCACTGTTTGGTAAGAAAAGATTAAAGACCCATCTATTTAGCCTAGAAATGAGAAATGCTCACTCGTTCCTGTGCCTGTTTCCACTGCTCTGACTGCAGAGCTTAAAAACATACCACAGGTGGGAGTTCCTTACTCGGACCTGGCCTTTAAAGTCACTGTAGTGTTTTCTTACCCAGGACTCCTCACACTTTTCACCTCCGGCACACATATGTAAGTGATAATATCTAGACAAAACACTGAGGTCTGGGCTGTCTCAGGCCCTGAAGGCGATCCAGAGGGCTAAAGTGATCTATACCTTGGCATATAACCCACAGGCCACTGTACTGAATACACTGGCAAGTAAGTCACAAAAACACACAGAAAAAGATGAAAATATTTCCCCTAGTTTGACTTTAAAATAATTTCTAAATTTGAAACAAACAAACAAAAAATTGAACAATAGAATAAGAATTCTCCCACACTAACTTTAAAATACATTGATTTTTAAGCAATGAAGCAAACTCTGGCACTTCCAAAGGTATTACAAAGCTAGTTTGGGAGACTTCTGCTTCCAGGAAGGTGAGGTGGGTGTAC